TTCAGAGCCATAGGCAGAATGCATAAGCCATAGGGCATGCGCACATAAAATTACTAGAGCCGTGGTGGAATGACATTGCGCATGCGCTATGGCTTATGTATTCTGCCTATGGTTTCTGCAATTTTATGTGCTTCCACCTTAAGCGCGCACGCACGCCAATTGCCTTTCCCTCGGCCCGCCCCCTCCCCGCCGTCCGCGCGGCCTCGCCGATTGTCGGAAAATGGTGACACATCTCATTCCGGGAGTCCTCTCGTTATGTCACGCGGCGATAGCGGCCTCCGTCCCGCCCTGGATTCCACGCGGGGGAGGGGCGGCGAGGGGGAGGGAATTTCTCCGCGGGACGGTTCCCGTGGCTACACCCGACGGGAGTGCAACGGCACGACGACGCATATTCGATCGCGGCCGACCGCGCGGGGCACCCGCAAGCCCGAGGCTGTGCGACGCGAAACGGCTTGGGGGAGGGGGGGGATTGAGTAGAGAGAGGGAGACCCTTCGATCGCGCCCACATTCCGTGCGGGAGCATCCTTCCCCTCGTTGCAGCGGGATGCACTGACCCACCGTACTGTCGTGGCATCGCGCAGGTGGACACCTTCGCGTGCGTGCGGCGGTTTCCCTTTAACTTGGGGCCCACCCGTCGCGGATCACGAGAGGATCCGGCTCGCCTGTGAATCGAACACACGGTCTCGCGCACCGGATGACGGAAGTGTCGCCCCACGTCTAGCCCTTCCTCGCGCACTGTCGCTCCCTGTTTTGCGTAGCTCGAACGGACGTCGCGGATCGGAGCGTCCAGATGCTGACGGAGATCCCGCTTTGTTGGTTTCAGGTGCGGTGGTAACTTCTTGCCGGAACCATGAGTTACCCGATGTCAACGAATCAATCCAGACCGAGTAAGTTGACGTTGGCCTCGCGAGGACGCGCGTGGGATTTACGTTCTGTTTGGGTGTTGCAGTGTCCCAAGGGAATTACCAGGGCCCGGGCGACCTGCCCATGGGCTCCGCCAAGGAGCAGACGCTGATGTGGCAGCAGAACTCCTACATGAACGACTCGGGCATCCATTCCGGCGCCGTGACCCAGACGCCGTCTCTGTCCGGCAAGGAGGACGAGGAGATGGAAGGGGATCAGCTGATGTTCGACCTGGACCAAGGATTCGCACAGGGTTTTACGCAGGATCAAGTTGACGGTGAGACCAACGTCGACACTCTTTGTAAAGCGAAAACATTGGCAAATTGGACGTTATGCATCGTGATAGAGAACGGCGCGACATATTTCAGAGATGAATCAGCAGCTGAGTCACACTCGGTCGCAGCGTGTACGCGCCGCTATGTTTCCCGAAACGCTGGAGGAAGGTGTGGAGATACCATCGACGCAATTCGATCCCGCACAGCCCACCGCTGTACAGAGACTAGCCGAGCCGAGCCAGATGCTCAAGCATGCCGTTGTCAATTTGATCAATTATCAGGATGACGCTGATCTCGCTACGCGCGCTATTCCGGAGCTGATCAAGCTGCTGAACGATGAGGATCAAGTGGTTGTTTCTCAGGCAGCTATGATGGTACACCAGCTGTCCAAGAAGGAGGCGTCCCGCCACGCGATTATGAACAGCTCGCAGATGGTGGCCGCCTTGGTACGCGCCATTTCCAACAGCGACGATCTGGAGTCGACGAAGGCCGCGGTCGGCACCCTGCACAATTTGTCGCATCACCGACAAGGCCTGCTGGCCATTTTTAAGAGCGGCGGCATCCCTGCGCTCGTAAAACTACTCAGCTCCCCGGTAGAATCCGTTCTTTTCTACGCGATAACGACGCTACACAACTTGCTGCTTCACCAGGACGGCTCTAAGATGGCCGTGCGCCTTGCCGGCGGTTTGCAAAAAATGGTCGCTCTGCTTCAACGGAACAACGTCAAATTTCTAGCCATCGTTACCGACTGCCTGCAGATTCTGGCATACGGTAATCAGGAGAGCAAGCTAATCATTCTCGCCTCGCAGGGCCCGATAGAGCTCGTGCGCATCATGCGCTCTTACGAGTATGAGAAACTGTTATGGACCACTTCCAGGGTATTGAAAGGTAATTTGTCACTTTGCCGTAGTAATCTCTTTGGAATGTTGTTATAATAAAATTTTGGCGTTTATTAACCGACGGTTCGTTTTCTTTGCAGTACTGTCTGTATGCCCGAGTAATAAGCCCGCGATCGTGGAAGCTGGTGGCATGCAGGCACTCGCTATGCATCTTGCCAACCCGAGTCAGAGATTAGTTCAGAACTGTCTGTGGACGCTACGTAATCTGTCAGACGCAGGCACAAAGGTTGACGGGCTCGATAATTTGCTGCAGAGTCTCGTGCTTGTGCTTGGATCAACGGACGTGAACGTGGTCACCTGCGCCGCTGGTATTCTGTCAAACTTGACCTGCAACAATCAGCGCAACAAAGTACGGACAAGGAAGCATTTCATACATGCGTACTTTGCTTAGGTTCTACTCTTTTAAATTCTTTTTAGGTTGCCGTGTGTAACTTTGGCGGTGTCGACGCACTGGTTCGTACGATCATCAATGCCGGTGATCGGGAGGAGATCACTGAACCGGCGGTGTGCGCCCTACGTCACCTGACCTCGCGTCACGGCGAGGCGGAGATGGCGCAAAATTCCGTTCGGTTAAATTACGGTATCCAAGTTATAGTAAAATTACTTCACCCACCGTCGCGCTGGCCGTTGGTGAAGGCGGTTATCGGATTAATCCGCAACTTGGCTCTGTGTCCTTCCAATCACATCCCGTTACGCGATCACGGCGCGATACATCACCTCGTGAGACTCTTGATGCGTGCATTCCAGGATACTCAACGAGTAAGTACATATACACGATAGAATATCATATTTTGCATAGCAATGAAGTATATAATTCTCTGCTGAGAAAGTTTTGGTATTTATTAGGTGGTAAGCTTAGTTTCCGCGGTGTTTTTTTGTTTAACAAACTCATTTATTTCGATATCAAAAGCAAAAAATACACCAATCATAGTATTTGCCCTCGCTAGCTATACATTTTTCCCATCTTTCTGGCAATGAGTGGATTCCGCAACGATAGAACGATTGGTCTTTTGATGCGATCCATTCATCGACCCATTTTCGCACATCCTCGTAATTTTTTAAGTGTGTATCCACCAAGCCGTGCTGCACCGATCGGAACAAGTGATAATCTGAAGGAGCCAAGTCTGGTGAATACGCTGGGTGCGGGAGAACTTCCCACTCGAGCTACATCAGTGTTTCCTTGACGGCTTTGCAATAACTTTCTTTCCTTTTGAATCTTTTCCATTGCATGTAGACGTTTGGAAACAGCCATCGGAGTAACATTTAACGCTGCAGACAATTCTTGGAGCATTTGAGCTGAGTTTTCGTCCAATAATGCTTGCAATTCGATGTCTTCAAACTTTTTCGGCTGACTCGAGCGTTGTTTATCATTCACATAAAAATTACCACTTTTAAATCGCTGAAACCATTTTTGGCATGTTCTCTCCAATGGAGCACAATTGCCATAAGCTTCGACAAGTAATTTGCGAGCTGTAGCTGCAGTTTTTTTTCAAATCAAAGTAATGAAGCACATGTCGAAAAAACAACTTGTCACGTTCCACGTTTAATCAAAAGAAAAAATGGCACTGTTCGCTTAGGCTGCGTTCAGATTCTACACCTTGGGTGCACCCAGGCACCCAAAGAGCGTTCAGATTCCTTTTAGGGTGCTCCTACCGGATATTGGGTTAGTCGTTCACATTGTCGCTCTATCTACCTGGGAGGGTGGAAAAGGCTCAAGAAGCCGGGTGGAACGGGTGGTAAATGACGCAGAGTCGGACACGGCCACGTCGAACCAGTATTATACTGGTAATAATAATCATCATCATCATTTATTAAACGCTTTGGGACAAGTCCCCTCAAGCGTACAGACACTTTTACATGGCAAACAATAAGCTAGACTAATGCATTTAATGTTTAGAATTATACATGACGCAGTAAATATAAGAAAGAAAGGAAGATATGATAATATAAACAGGTATTATAATACCGACACTCATTGCATTAGGCATTCAATTAAGAGGCATACTATCGTTGATGTCTCTCAATTGTAACAAGAAGGCAAATAGCTTGAACTTAAAGTTCTCGATAGTCCCTGAATCCTGAATGTCGTGTGGAAAGACATTCCAAGACTCAGCCGCAAAACAGCAGAACGAACGTTTATAGAACTCCGTCCGACATAATGGTGGAACCAGTGTATCTATAGGCGCTCTAGTGTTTCTTACGACCCTATTGTACTTAAATTCAAAATTATTGTAGATGGACGATGGTAACACAGAAAAGATCAAACTTCCCACAAAGTATAGGCGTTCTCAGTTCTATTTTAAGCCAGCCTAATTGTTGATAGTACGGAGTTATGTGTTCATCCCACTTTACCCTGAAAATGTACCTAACACATCTGTTTAGGGCTCTCTGCAGACAGAGATTCTGCTCACCAGTGGCATTAGTAAAGACAGTACAATAGTAATCAAAGATAGGAAACACCAATGTCTGAATAAGTCGGATACGCAAAGTAATCGGTAGAAGATGTCTACAAAGTTTTAGTTGGTACAAAACCGTGTTGATTCTCGAGACAGTTCTGGAGATGTGCCTCCCCCATGATAGTGTATCCGTAATCTGAACACCTAGATATTCTACAGATAGCGGGGTAATAAGAGAGAGATAGAGTGCGTTCAGATTCCCTAAACCACTCGGGAGCTTTTTCGTTGGATCCGCTCGGTCACCCAATGATCACCCACCCGGTGGGGAATCTGAACGCAGCCTTAAATGAATCTTTTCGCACTGAATTTTATTGGCAAATGTCTAACCTTTAGAATGCAGCCAGTTCCAGATGTCGAAGTAAATTTCACTTCCAACTAGCGTCATCTAAATATGAGCCGCGGAAACTAAGTTTACCACCTAATATATACTTTCTGGGGCTAAATCAAAATTCAATGTAAAATATGTTTGCTATAATAATGATGATTTTTTGTATATGTAAAAAAATATATTTTTTACTCGCAGCAACGATCATCCGTTGCTAGTACCGGAAGTCAACCGACATCGGGCGCATACGCAGATGGAGTACGTATGGAGGAAATAGTGGAAGGTTCGGTAGGTGCTCTTCATATTCTAGCAAGAGAATCCCATAATAGGGCGATAATTCGATCACAGAACGTAATTCCGATTTTCGTACAAGTAAGTATTCGCTGCTTTCACGAAATTGCTAACATTTTCTTCGAGTTTCTTAAACCGTCGCACTTTAATCCAACGTGATAAATTCACATTATCGTGGCATACGATTTCTGTTTAATATTTTGATTTAGTAACACGGTTCTTTTTCATTCCACTCGCAGCTACTGTTCAACGAGATCGAAAACATTCAACGCGTGGCAGCCGGCGTACTTTGCGAGCTGGCGGCCGACAAGGAAGGCGCCGAGATAATAGAACAAGAGGGTGCTACCGCCCCGCTGACAGAGCTGCTGCACTCCAGGAACGAGGGTGTTGCCACTTACGCAGCGGCAGTGCTATTCCGTATGAGCGAGGACAAGCCCCAAGAGTACAAAAAACGACTTTCCATGGAGCTGACGAACTCCCTGTTCCGCGAGGACACAAATCTGTGGAACAATGCCGACTTCACCATGGCCCCGGATCTTCAGGTACCGTAGAGAAAACGTATACACCGACGTGCACGTCATTTTATCTCGTGCCGTGGCGAAATAGATTTACTCGCAAACACTATGTAACATAGCAAGTTTTAGTTTTATTTACTAGCTTCGCATTTTTATTAATTGACCTTCTCCAAGTACTCGCCAGGAGTCAGGTTTGTAATGTAACATAAATTGAGATACCGTAGTTATAGAAGTATGTTGAACACTTCTAGGTAGTTACATTGTGTTCAGTAAATTGTGCCACGTTATGACAATAGCTCTTACTGGTTATAGAGACACTCCCCTAATTATAAAAAAAATACCAGGTATTTATACAAGATTTTCCCCGTGTAAGATTAATAATTTCAAACGCAGCTGTCTACAAGTTTATGTACAACGTCACTTATCTATCAATTTTGCACTACTAAGTCATCTGCAGTACTCATTTGCGTGCTCATAGCGTTTAGTCTTCACTGTCCATCAGTTTTTTTTCCTTTTTTTTTACGCTTTGGAATTTTACTCGTTTGCGGAGATGGCGGATATACAATGTGAAAACTAATTTCATACAATTTTGCTTAACAAGTTATAAACGAGCAATTTTGAAATGTTTGCTTCTCTCACGCAAAAGTGCACCTTACAATGCGTACTTATATTAACTTGTAAACTAAATTGTCAGTTTTACATACGCTTAAGCTTCGTAACATACACACAGTTTATTACGCCCGAGATTCAATTATATTTCCATTACATTTTTACATCAATATTTATTCGAATATTGAGAGCCTAAAGAAGATCTTAAAGAAGACGGTATACATGGCCGTGCCTAATGGAGCAATGGATCACGAGATGCAATTAGATACGATCTTATTGTTAGTCTAATTGATAGTTTGCAAGATTACGATATGCATGGGAATGCGTTTTGTCCCTTCTGCAGATGTTTACTTAAAGAAACAATTGTCTCCTTTTACTTTTTATTACTTTATCGTACGTGTTATTATTCATGCAAGCCCCCCAGCCCCCGCCGTCTTTATTATTATTATCGTACAAAATTTGCCGAGTAGAGCGCGAATCTTGCCGTATTTACCATGACACGCCCTCCCTTAGAAGATATGCTTTGTGTTGACCTCAGCTACCTAATCTTCAGGACATGCTTGGCCCTGAACAAGGCTATGATGGTATGTATGGCCAAGGACCTCCTAGCGTACACAGCAGCCATGGCGGTCGGGGTTATCAGCCGCAAGGTAATTTATATGTCAGCCATTTTATTCATCGAATGCTGCTTCTGAACAATCGACTTGTTACTCGATCGAGGGTAGACGGAGCTATAACTGGTCACAGAAAACGAGTCTCGTTCTGTATAAAATGTGCTCTTTTATTACAATCGGCGTACATTGGCGGATATTGATTGTATACGCGATAATGCAACCTCACACGAGCCAATTCTGTCTTGCATTGTAAATACGAGGGGATTTGATAAATTTACCGCTCTTTTCGACACCACCTCTAATAATGAAATAATGCATTTAATCGTATGTTATTTTAACAGCAGCTTAACCCATGGACTTAAATTAAAATACAGGCTATCAACAGTTTCTCGCAGTAACATAGGTGACATTTGGTCTTCATGTATTTTTCTGGTTTTTCGTTATCTGACTGTTTGACGTCTAATTGATTGTCAGTTTTAACTGCATGTTCGTTGTTACGTGTAGAAACTTTAAGACTTCGCCGAGCACGCTTATTACTAGAGGATTATGAGATAGCGGGTTTTTTTTAACTAAATTAATAGACATTATCTGATGGTTTCATCGTTAATTTATTGCTCTTGGAATGAGATCTGTGGAAAATTCATTGTTACATCGTGTAATCGTTGTGAATAAAGATCGGCGTTTAAATTTTGACGTTGAAAACCTGCTATCTCATAACGGAGGACTTTCCACTATTAACTTTATTCCGCAGGAGAATCCAATGACTTGATATTCACGGCAGGAAATATGAGAACTCGTATAATATACGTGCGCAAATCGTCTACATTAAAATTGAGAAAAACACGCAGCCGCCGTTTAACATTTTTCTTTTCGCAAGCATATTTAACTATACACATAGTGTATAATAATACGTTATCTGTTCTATAAATAACGACGTGATCAATAGAAAATAACCAGGTAAATATAGGACACTGATTCAAGACGACACTAACGGTTGAAACGTAATTTCTTTGATATTACATCTCGCATCATCTCACTCGTAATTACGGAGGTGTTATTTAATGTATAATATGTGTGAGACACTATATATAATGTCAAGCTACTTCACCTGTGCATGCTTACACTGTTTTGCATGCATATACTGACCCTTTTATTATTTATTTATTTGCGCTGTGATACGCGCTTTACGATGAAGGAGACGTATAGGAGGATGATATTTGTAAGTAACTAGATGAAAAATTTCCTGCAGTTTATTCTCCAAATGAAAGTACTCGTCGAAATTGGAAACGTAATTGAAAAGAATAATAGTGCTTAACACTTTTGCCGTATCACACGGTAGCATGTGGCATATCGAGCTTCCAGATTACTTGGCAATTGTATCGCTTATTTCGTTCGTATTAATTAAAGTTCAAAAAAAGTTCAAGGTTTTGTAAATTTGTTTTCTACACATCTGTCTGTGATTATTTAGTGTTGTTAGAAAGTAGCTTCTCTGTGGGATAAATAATTTTTATCGTGCAATCTGATAAAGATTTCTGAAAATGTATTACGAATTAATGAGTAAATATAGTAGTTATTAAATATCAGCATTACGATTATGAAGTTTTGTATTATATAAACTGATCACACGGTAATTATTTAAAAAAAAAAAAGACTTCAGGAGACACATAGTTGGCAAGTTATGCTTCACCGATTAATGAAGTTTCTGCACTTCGCGTGCAGTGTGTAATTTTTTTGATGTAATTGCCGTACAGGATCAATGAGCTTTTCGTAAAAAAATGTTGTTTTTTTCCTTGCAACAGGTTATGACCAGATACCAGTAGATTCGATGCAAGGGTTAGAGATAGGTGGCGGATCGACGTATGGCGCAATGGACACTATGGACGTCGCGCACGAGGGCATGAGTTTCGATCACTTGGAAGAGCTTCCTGCACCGCCGCAAGATAATAACCAGGTCGCGGCCTGGTACGACACCGATCTTTGAATCCGTGCCATTATCGATCTCACGTGACAGCAAAGGAACTCAAAAAGCAGGAGCATTATTTTAAAGTACTAAGCGAACTTTCATAGTCCCGATTATCCGAGCGCTACAGTTGAATGTCCGCATTCTAGACTCGTCAGGACCAAACCGTTTTTCCCGATCTTTCCTCATTTTTATTTCAATGACATATGCATACATTAAACATGCTGTTTCTATCTCTCCCTCTTTCTCACGTCTTTTTTTAACTATTTCCTTGCCGACTTGTGATCGGTAAGCCAAGCGTCGATTGTTGCTGGACGGATGACGTGCCAAGTGATCACACACAGTGCTTGGTATCCCGATTCACGATACGGACGTTTAACTGTATTCGAATAGTGTACTTTAAGATGTACGAACGATGTATCTTAATAAATCAGCCGTTGTTGAGATCCGAAAATCTGAGGGCCCGTCAACTCGGTACTCGCGTAAACTTACACGGTCGGTCTCGCACGCGTGTACGCTTACACTTGGCGCGAGACACTACCGTGTCTCGTGATTAATTAATTAATTAATAATTAATTAATTAAGAGACGCTCGGGAAATCGGAGTTCTCTGCCGCATTTACAAGACTCATCTTTGACATGAATACCGATTGGTGACTATCGTGTCTCGACCATCTTTCGGTCCGCGAGAAGTCCCCTTCGAATATAAACGATTGGTTAGTCGCGCTATAGTTGACATCTTCCTATAGTCCACGTTTGTTTCGTCAAGCGAAAAGTGGAAACATTCGCTAATCCATATCGACCCAAGAAAATGTATCGCCTGTAATCGCCTAAATATGATCATTCACCCGAGCATATAAACATTATATCGATGTACTAGAATTAAGGAAGACACATGTAATTCGTACACACACGTATATGTATCGTTTAATTGTCTATACAAATAAACTGAAACAATTAAGCGAGCAATATTTCTGTTTCTTACAGCAAGTGCTGCAAGTTGCGCGAGTTAACGGTGAAGATCACGATTACCGTCACTTGTGATTACAGTACAATCATCTGAAATGCATAACAATTTTGAAAACCTAATCTCTTTTTTTTAACAGATTTAATAGAACTTCCGTAATAATTACGTAAATTTGTGTAATACAATTTTTTTACAGACTTCAAATGTAATTAACAAATTTCAGAATTTGAGGCTTTTCGCAGTGTACACGAATACTAGATTTGTCTTTTGGGTTGAAGCAAGTTTTACGTTTTATTCTAACATTTTCGTGAAGGTTTCAATTCACTTTAGGCAGAAACAACCCGACACTGAACTGTTCCTTGACAGATATTACATTTATATGATCAATCAAGTGTAGAGAGAAAGGTGAAGGGATAAAGGAAGGGGGAAGTTAGTTGGCTAATTAAATTTAAAACAAAATTGTATAACTATGTTAGACAGGTAACATCCATCTACTCCTCAAAAACAGCACCGAGACAATCTTGAGTCGAGACACCGACGAATATTTCGCAAATGACGAGGAGATAATCACGTGGGCATTTTAAAAGGATCCGTCCACTTTGATATTAATACGCTGCAGGAAAATAATTTCAGCGATACTTTCACTTGCCAGGCTCGGCGAGAGCGAGGTAAGACGTTTCACGACACGCACAGTTTGTCGCGGGGCCGTCTTCGTTTTCTTCTCTTCGCTTCTCTCCTCTTCTCCGATCGGAGAAGGGTGCCACGTACGACGCCGTCGGGTCATCAATCGCTGGTCGACTCTCGCACGGCGTATACGCCAGCGGCCGCTCCGGAGACTCCGCGTATCCCGCGTTAACGGTTGTTTCTTAACGCGACACGAGGAAAGGAGGCTCGTCCCTCGAGGAGCCGTGTTTCTTCGAGTACGAAAGGCGCGTTAAGAATCAGTCTGCTCGTCGAAGCGGCCACTTCCGGGCAGCTGTCGGTCGAGGGTAGTCCTGTCGCCCGTACGAAGGCAGGCGTTTCGCGTCTTCGGGAGACCGATCGACGTGAATTTTCTCGGTGTGTGACTGAATTCTGTAAAAAAAAAGTTCTCTGAAGAATAAACATTGCTATTCGGTGCGCCAGAGGTGCTGGATTTGGAAATGAAATCTCCGTCTCGCGTGCAGGTAAAGCTGAAACGTTTGTTATCAAGATGTCTTTTATATTCTTTTGTATTCTTTTATTGCCTCTTTCAACTCGTCCTTCCACATTCTTTGCTGTCTCCCTGGTGTATTTTCGTGACTTGAAATAACCGCGGTAGGGCTCCGTTCGAAATCTTCGATACTTTGCGGCGAAGATATTCGCACCTACGAATAGAGCGAATCGTCGATCGTTTTGCGACAGATGCCTTTTACTAGTGATCTACTTTCGAAATACTTTGCCAGTGTCAAGACTGGCTGCAATTGATTGTGCATTACTGATTACACAATTAGAAATATTCATTCTGTAATTAGTAATACTTTACAATTATAGAATTTAGTGTATTATAATTAATTACATATAATTGATTATAATATATTATAATCGACTGCAGTCAGAATGTACAGTGGCTTCTGCGATTCTGATTTAGCATATTAAACGTAGAGGAAAGTCTTCTATTATGAGATAGGCTTCTAATATGAGACATCAGGTTTTCAATATCAAACTTTAATCTCAAATCTTGATTCGCAACGATTGCACGATCTAACAATGAATTTTCCACTGAACAGATTTCACTCCCAGGGCAATAAATTCTCGATGAAGCTAATAGGCGATGCCTGTTAATTTAGCCAAAAACCCTGCTATCTCGTATTAGGAGCTTATCTCATAATAGGGGACTCTCTACACTGAGATTACGGATGGACAAGAAACTCGTGGAAAAGTTCCGAGACGTGCCGTGCACCATTCGATACCAATTCGTTGATGAGAATCGTCGATTAGGTACCTGTAGATCTCTGCAGAGTGTGCATTATTCAAAGAATAAAGTTTTATAACGGTAAAGCGTAATCTTCACGGTTGAGTTGCAATCTAAGTAAGGGTTTATCGCGGTTTCTATTTGCGAGCACACTCTCGTATTTGCGTTTCATTAGAGATGCACGGATTACCGTTGCTTTCGTAATAGAGTCAGAGCAATCGGACAGATATGCCCGAACGTGAAATCAAAGCGATACACACGGGAACGTCAGGTATGGGATATTCTATCCGCACGTAAAATATTACATTATCGGCGTTGCAAATGTTACACGTAATAAAAGTCATGCATACAAATGCGTCGTACGTGTTTGAATAATTCTGACATTAATATGGAAAAATCCCCAACGGTTATACATTTAGATGAAAAGCGTCTATGTTTAAAGTAAAATTATTTCTCCCCTCTCGTTAACTCCCACCCGTGGCATTTTCATTGATCTTATTATTTTTACGCCGGATATTTCAATGTATTTGTACGTTTTAATGTACATATTTTGTATATGCAAGAGTCTCCAAGTCTTTCTCGTATCTGTGCACAAAGTTATAAACGGAATTCTATCCTGAATTCTTGGCGTGAATATTAATGATCGTCTGTATTAAGTTTTACTATCTATTTCAAAGTAATATCAAGCCACCAAAGCGATATTATCGACTATATAACAACGTAAAAGTAATTTGTTCGATTATACTTCAAGATAAAAGAGTAAAAAAACGTCCGATTCTTCTTTGTTGTACCCAATTTAACGCTTCGCCGGTTTATATAGAATTTACCACGGAAATCCACGCATATTAATTTCATTGCACTGATTCCAAAACCTGTCTCGTTACCCTTGAAATAAAATAACTTGCACTAATAAAGTGCCTTTGCTCGATGTAGTGTGTCGAAAAGTATCTTTCTGTTCAGCAAGTTCTCGTTGCCTTTCCAAGCAGAGCAAGTGTTTCCAAGTTATTTTTCCTATTAAAGTAGGTTACAAAATGCACAGATCTTCTCGTCGATCTTTCTGCCGAATATTGAAGTGCCCATTGTACTTGTATTTAATAAAGTGATTTTATACGTGTACGTTATGCGAAAAATGAGCAATTTGTCCGAATACTGAGAAGAAGTGGAAATATAATTCAGCGTCTGGGCGACTCGGGCGTCGGAGGCGTCTCCCACACACGCGATATTGGTGAAATTAATTTCTATTGCGGTCCCATTAAGAGAAACGATATCTTGCTTAAACACTCGTATTTGCACGTGTATGCCGAGTGGGGGCACCGACGATAATGACGTGAAAGTGTATCCACTACGCCGCTCCAGAACAATTCCACGTCGTGCCCAGCTCGAGATACCGTGGGAGTAAATTACCGTAAACTCCACGTGTCTGATCAAAAAATTCGCTTTACTTGCGACACCGCGCGCGGTTGTCTCTTTAAATGTCTCAGGCACCTGCACGGGATTTGCCGTTACCCGCTTCCGACACATCGAACACTATGTATTGTCGCTTGTAATCCACGACATAATTAGCGGCGGAGTGCAAAGTCATGCAAAGGATATAGCGGGAAAAGAAAACGAAGACGAGTAACCGCCGGATAGAAAAGGCTGGCAAGAAAGGAGTAGCAGATCTTAACATAAGTGAGAAAATAAGTAACGGGGTGGTTCGGAGCGAGGCACGCACGTAAAGATTGAAAGACAATTGGGATAACTAATCAATACGAGACGCGCGAGAGAAAGGTGAAGAGAAATGGGGACCAAAGATCGCGGAACTCGTACAGGAAGGAATAGGGAAACCCGTGGAGACAGAGGCCCGGTTTTTCATTTTCTGGTTAATTGTTAACCAGAGGTTTAGTCTCTGTCTCTTCTTAGATAATAACATAGAAACAAAAATGGAGAGTTGACCAACTTCTGGTTAGCAGTTCACCAGAAAATGAAAACCCGGACCAGAGACGTGCAAAGTCGAAGGGAGGCGTAAACGGGAGCGGGTGGACTAGAGAGGATAGAGAGGGCCAGGAAGAGACGAGGGACAGACGTCCTTGCCCCGGACTAGTCCGTAACTGTGCCCTCGTGCGCACGGGCGTCCGTGGAGAACCGATAATGACGTGAAAGTGCATCCACGAGGAGCGAGGAGGCAGGCAGGCAGGCGCGCAGCAGACCGCCGTTCTCCTGGCGGTCTCGCCTCGTCCAGGACAATCCCCTGGATCGTGGCCGGGCCGGCTTGGAGAAATTGTCTGCCTCTCGACGATCGAAGTGCTCGCCTGGCCGAGGTGGTGAACGTCTCGTTCGCCGCGCGGTCGCTCAGTCGCCTCCTTTCCTCGAGTGCGTTTTCGCCGCAGCTGCCGCGAGAGTTGGTTTTTTTCTTTTCTCCGACACGCGCGTTCAAAGGTGACGGTCCGCGAACAGTTCTCAGTGAGGTGATATCGAGGGACTCCTCTTTTCCTTTTCTTGTGATAAACGTGCCAATTGGAGACGGACCTCGTCTGCACGTTCGACGATTTAGGTACGAATACCCGGGAGAGAACAAAACTGATTTATTGTGTTCGACTTTACATTTGTATATGTGAGTAACGTATGAAGCCGTTCCTTTAATTATGGAAGGATTATTGAAATTGAGACTGTTAGCAAGAACAGATAAGATTAAAGGATCTGTGTTTCTCTCAAGAGCGTTCACAGATCCTACAAGATAAATCTGGTATACATATATTAAGCTCTAAACCGTTACGCACACATTACATCAATGAGTGATGTTTTATACATGAAGATACATCAATCTTCATATATGCGACGTGCATTCCTTTCTTTTTGGTTGTAAATTTCTCTTTTATTAATTATTTAATTGTATTAAGTAGCGGCTCTTAACGTCGCAGTTTTATTTTGAAAATTAAAACTCACATTTCCCGCTCAGAGAATCTGAAAAGAATTTCTCCCGAATCCCCCAATGATGAAATCAATTCGTTTTCCATCCCGTTTCGGTTCTAAAAACATGAAAGAGTTCAAGAGAATTCGCTTTGCGCCATCAACGCTGACCTCTTGTTCAGATACAAAAGGAATTCTTCGTATTCGGAACAACTATAATTTACTTCCATAAGAAGGCAAAAGGAATATTTCTATGGAATTCTTTTTCAACTGGCGGAAAGGAATTCTTCCTTTTAAGCAGATCACGCTAATTTGTAAAGAATTTTAAATTATCAACGCGAGAAGAATTCTATTTCGAAGCATACAATTACGTTGACGTAATTGATATTCTTCACGTCAATTTCTTATTCTTCGTCAATAAAGTCCGTTTCTATAGCTCTTCGATAAAACTTTGAAACTGTTATTAAGCTTGATGGTTTTTAAATTAATGAACATTTTCTTCAATAACGATGGTAATATTAAACGATAAATATAGACTTGCTGAAAAAACGCCAAGGAACGGCACTCTATGCCGAGCGGAAGTTTCAGCAGCGGTAAACGACCGATCATGTGATTTACTCGCTCCCGCCACAATGCGCACGGCGATCGACGTGCATTTATTTAAAAAAAAAGTCGATCCCTAAACCGTCCGACACTTCCTAGAGAGTTATGAAGTATTTCTTCTTTACAGTGAACGGGGACGCTAATATCCCCGAAGCGGCGAGCGGGAGGCGCGCAGGAGATGCACCTTGCCGATACCCAGGCTTGCTGTTCTTAAAAAAAAAACCCCACGGAAGCGGACAATTGGACACGCGATCGTCGTCTTTGGCGGTTATTCGTCGCCGTTGACACCGGACACGCTCACGAGGGAAAGAAATCCGCGATGACTCCTCGAGCCGGCCAGATTCTGGAGGAGCGCTGACAAAGCGCGAGAGCCGCGATCGCAGAGAGAGAGGAGAAGAAGAAAAAAATGACCGTCGCGATGGAGCACAAACGGAAGAGCTCGTGGGACTCGAAGGTGAGATTCGAATATGTGGCGCACTTTCCCTTCGCCGGTTCTCCATGCTTTCTTCATTATCCCGTCGCGTTATTAATTAGGGAGCCGGGCCGTCGTGCGAAAAGCGTCGCGACTCGTGCGAGGAATCGCGCGCGGAGACGCGAGGCGTCACGAATCCCGTGGCGAAGGAATGCATTGTTTAAGCGCGCGGCGAGGATATGAGTAACGGCGATACCGTTCGCGATACTTTCCAGTTTCTACGGATCGATCTCCCGACGTCCTAACGGGGCCTCGGGGCAGATAAATCGTGATAAATCCCCCGCGCGAGCGTTTGAAACGTGCGCATTTTCGAACGGAGTCAGCGCACTCCACGAAGCGCGTATCGTGCACCACCTTTGTTCGAACTTGCACTTAAACTTGCTACGTTGGAAGTCCTGTGCGAGCGGAGAACGCGAAATGGCGCAATGCTGCTTTGTTGCCCCGACTGTCTCGTGGGCTGGCTTTGCAAATAATCATTTCGCAGATAAGGTGCCCGCCCATTCTATTATCCAGAAATGATGCTGCAGATTGGAGCGGTGGAACAATTGCGGGATAAACATAATCGCTCCCATAACTCGCCGCTGACATTTGAGCCGGCGTACATCGCCCGTGGCGAGAAAGCGCGATTCTGATTAATTTAATCGACTCTCTCACGGCGTAACATTGTAATATATGTTTCTTTTATTCGCGGGGCGAAATAAAACGGGATTAATTTTGCTCCTCGCGCCGGCGTTCTTCCAGCCGTAAGAAAACTGTGCCCCGCGCCGAATGAATCAGCCGCGCGCACAACAACGTTCGGTGAAAGTCGCGTCGCGCATCGAGCGTTGGTGCTCACCTTCGTCCTTCGATTAATTATTCTGATTAATTTTCTCGCACTACAACGCGGTGCAAAGGCCACTGAAAGGCCAGGGGGATTGTCGCGGGAAGGAAACTCAACCTTGAACTCGCGCGTTTACTCGGTCGTTGATACTCAAATACTCCGCGTTGTTCCGATTTCTGAATGTTCGCTGACAATGCCGTTATCTGCCATTTTATGTGGATATCCGTTGCGTAGAGATTTTTATCAGGACGTAGATTTTGCTCGCATATGTAATCGCGTTTACACTGTAAAAGAATTACATGTAAAATTACAATTCCCTAGTAGCGCGGTGCATTGGTTAAACATTGGCTAAATATTGGTCCAATGTTGGTTATATTAGAAATGCATTGGCCGATATTGCCCATCGTAAAGCCAATGTTGGTCATGGAATAAATGTAAATATTGCATGACTATAATTATATAATATTAGATTTATGTTGAAAGTGCGTTGGCCAATATTTAACAATATAATAAGAATATTGGTTTAATATTGTACCAATATTGGTACAATATTAGACCAATATTGCTAAATAGACATAGTGGCTAAATAAAAAAAGGCGTCCGTTTTACAATATTGAGCCAATATTAGGAATATTGGCTTTACATTATTTCCCAATATTGCGCCAACATATTGTGCTACTAGGGTTATTATTTTTATTTTCTTTCCGCACGAAGAAGTTCCGACTTAACTCCAACAACTCGTTGTAAAGCGTACGATGTTTATCGTCTTTCTCGCTACGAATTATGCGAGCACAGTTCTGATTGAGAAATAAAACGCTTACGGTACTTGCCATTTCCAATAGCATTTGTGATATTACAAGATTAAGAAAGGTCTAATATTGTATCAATATTAGACCAATCTTGCCAAATAGACATATTGGCTAAATAAAAGAAGGCGTCCATTTTACAATATTGGGAAAACTAGATTTACATTATTTTCCAATATTGCGCCAATATATTGTGCTACTAGGATTATTATAGTGGATAGTATTGGGACCATCTATTAAAGGTGTATATTTACAGTAAATTTACAACTTGTATAGGTAAAATTATAATTTATATAATAAGTAACCTCCTTTTACTTGTGTAATCGCTACACTTATTATGTATGTAATTTTACATACTTGTTTTTGCAGTGTATTTAATTACATGCTCGCTGGTTTAGCAAAATTATCGCTCGCTTTTCTTCAGCGAAATAATATGCACTTTAGTTTTTATACATTTAATATCGCTGATTAGTAAATGGAGGAATATTTGAAAATCTGGATCTCGAATACTTCGCGTGCGAACGGATCGTCGACTTTTGAAGCGTTGCACGCAAACGACTGAAAGACAAGACGCGTCGAGACGATTCGTGGTTTGCAAGCTGATACCGTACAGATTATTTTTTGCGGTCGCGTTCGTCACCGCCGACTGTTGAATTATCGTGGACGCGATTGTTACACCGACGATAAATTATGTAAAGCCGCGCAGAGTCCGCGCATTCGTCGGACGCGTAAAATGCGTTGAGGAGTCGTAACTCGGTCGAAATACCAAGGTTTCCCCAGGTTCGTTCAACCTCGTTCTCCAACGCTGTATCACAAATATCTGCATGCGTGACGCAAAGATATTCCTGGTAGTCGGTTTCTTTCCGCAACGTCAGAGGAAGAGAGTTGGAGAAAATATGACGACTGATGGCAGCAACTCTTTTCCGAGCGGACAATGATCCTGCGTCTTGTTGTCGGTCGCTTCAATGATTCATCCTTTGAAAAGGAGACCAAGAGACTCGTTCCGGGCGCTCGTAGAGGTTCAATTGAACCGATAACGTTCAATTAGCGAGATTCCTTCATAAATAGTCGTAATTGCCTAGTGCGAACGCCGGTTAGACGCTAGTCCACTTTAGCGTCCACCTCTTCCTCGGCGTCAGAAGCCTGATCCATCTGGTTTTCATCTCCAGATCGATTGACCTTGTTCTCCAATGACCCCCCTTGGCCACGCGAGTACCTACGCACTCGGCGGCGAGTTGACGAGGAACTAGGCTGACCGGAATGGAGAGCGATGCGTTAGGTGGGCTGGGTCGTCTGGGTTGGGCCGTCGTCATCTGCTCTATCCCCGATACCGTTACCTCACGGACACCCGATCTCGCTGGGTATTCTTCAAAATCGCGCGCGACGCTTGTCGCCGGCGCGACGTCAAACTCGGATGACCGATGGCGGTGTCTGATTGAATGTCAGGAAGCGTCTCGCATCGATAATTCCACAACGGCGTATTCCTTGTTATCTATTGAAAGCCAGGTACACGGTGACACCATCCGTCATATCTCTGTTCGCCGAACTTTGGATTTTTCGACTTGACCTATTTCTTGGAATTCTAATTTTTTCATATTCTATAAATGACATTTTAATTCCATCTTATTATAATCACGATATAATATTATGGATATGGTAGCTCAAATTTTGTAAATCAAAGTAATCGTACACGGAGAGAAGTTTCTTTTGAAATTTATCCTGGAAATTATGTGGGACAACATTCTGAAGAACTTTGAGAGTTTTTGAAATTTTACCGCACATTTTACAAGTAAAATATACATATACTAATTGTAAGTATAATCACTAGCATAATTACATAAAATTTCTTGAGATGCCGTGTTGTCCCACGATTACTATATAATTAATTTGCAGGGCAAATTTTAAAAGGAAATCCTCTCCGTTATAATCGTAAGTAGAAAATTGTGCCATTTAAATGTTGAGGATCGTCTCGGAATTGCGCGTTCAAATCGCATAACTGAACCCTGGAATTTGGAATGGCGCGGAACGATTGGAGGTAATTTTCTGCCGTATGTATGCCGATTATTCTGATGACGAAGACGACAGATTGCAGATCGGAGATCAACTCCGCTGTCATTTTTTTCACGGCTGCCTCTGGCTGAGGAGCTACGGCGTCACGTTCCGGCGGCTTACTTGTCACTACGTGGACAGTGTGACTGAGCGGATTGTAATTCAAGACGGACAGAAACTCGTTCCTAGATTCTTGCTCTTTTGGAAAGGTGGCCTGGCGTTTGGTATAACGGTTATAACGGTCAGGAAAGTCGCTAGAGAACAGTAGCTCCGATGACGCTCTACAGATTCTTTCCGCCGGTCATCGACACTTATTCTTTTCACGGTTGATAATCGACCGACAATTTTCCGGTGACGTCGAAAAGAGGCCACGTCCCGCTTGCATTATCATTTGCATTGCGCACACACGATCGATTCCGTTTGCACAATATTCGTAAATCAGCTCGTACACGGAGAGAATTTTCTTTTAAATTTTATTCTGAAAATCATGTAATCGTGGGACAACGTGGCATTTTGAACAACGTTATGGCAGTTCTTTGAACTTTTACTAGTAAAATATATGGTAAAGTTTCAGAAAACTCTCATAAAATTCTTCGAAATGCCATGTTGTTCCACGATTACATGATATTGAGTAAAAACTTTATGACAGTTCTTTTAAATTTTACCAGACAGTTTACGAGTAAAATGTATAATAAACACAAGTACAATTATTAGTAAAATGTATGGTAAAGTTTCAAAAGACTCATACAAAATTCTTCGAAATGCCATGTCGTTCTACGATTGAACAGAATTAATCATTCATTTAATCAATACCAATAAGTCCGCAGATTGATATACAAAACGTAGTAACAGTTACGGAATAAAGTAATGTAAAACGTTAAGTACAGAATTTTCAATTTCGTACGCGGGACAACGAACTCTCAACGTTCGTTGTTGTTTTTCTCCCTACGCGGTATCGTGCGACGTTATTCGGGCAATTGTTTACCTGAAGGTCGCCGCGCTATCATTCGCTCGCCGAACGTCGAGCCGGCAAACAGTGGCTAGAGTCGCTCCGTGCGTGTTATTACTTTTGCGTTATCGGTTTCCAAGACTCGATCGCGACGAATTAAGGGATAAAACGCTATTGATTTGGACACTTTTATCAGTAACAAGTAACGTTCCTCGATTAATTATTAAGTTTCTGCAACTTGTAATGAGAAACGAATTGCATATCGAGGCGACGGCTCTTTGTCAACGTGTACGTAGATATTTCACGAGACTAACTCATCTAAAATATGAAGATAAATCGTGGTACTTTGTCGCGGTTA